TGGGAGACTGGTTTGGAGGGTGATTTGGTACGTGCTTTCTTCTTCTTTTCCTTGCCTGCACTTTTCCATTTTTTCTCCAATTCCTGTGACAATTCCCTCAGCTGATCCTTTTTCGATTTTGCTGTCCCTCTTTGTCTTTGTCTTGTGTGACTGCCATCATTGTTGCTCTGACGGTTGGTTCTTGGTCTAGTTCTTTGAGCCGCCATGATCTCTGCTGGGATATCGTTTCCTCCATCAACATACAAGTGGTCCAGAAAACTGAATTTGTCTGGATCCTGGGAGCAGTGCGTTCTATCCAGTACTTCATACAGAAGAGTATCAACTGCATAGAATCGAAGTTGTTGGTAAAGCAGACGTTGATTCCTGATTGAAACGAATTCCAAGACTGCCTTGTGGCGGAACGAAGCCCCTATTTTGCAGGCCGATCAACCCATCATAGTACTCAACCACAGCATCTGCACGTTGGCGGGCATGATGACGTCCTCAATCAATCTGATTTCGACTCTGGAATGGAATCTGGGATGGAATCTGGGATGGAGTCTGGGTTCGAGTCTGGGTTCGAGTCTGGGTTCGAGTCTGGGTTCGAGTCTGGGTTCGAGTCTGGGTTCGAGTCTGGGTACGAGATGGAGTCTGGGTGCCTTGGTTCGTGCCTGTGAAGGAGCTTCAGCGCGAAAATCCAGAGCCAAGGCTGATTTTGAAAGTCCTGAAGTCGGGGGGGTTAATTTCCTGAAGTGGGATTGGGGTGGGGGGTTAATTTCCTGAAGTGGGATTAAGTGGGACTGGTGGAAGACTTAGGGGTCCTGACTTCAGGACTTCAAGACTTCAGGAAATTGACCTTACTCGGAGCCGCAGACTGCATGAGAGCTGCAATAATGACATCAAGGTCAACACGAAAGCCCTTCAAAGTCAAAGAATCCAACGTGTTCCGTCCCAAGATTTTCACTACTGCCGCTGTGATACCATCATTGCTCTTGGGCAGATCGAGCTCTTTTGACAACCACAGCTTCTTGAGAGTTGGAACGGAACCAATGGCGGTGTACATAGCAGCCCAAGCCCACTCCGCAACAGACGTGGGAACTTGGTCGTCCCAGACTGGAGCCAGCCGCGTCCCAAATCGCAAAGTGAGCTCTTCCAGGCAATGGGATGCCCCCAATGCTTCTGGGAAATTCTGCCATTCGTCCAGCCCAGGTAGTTCCAAGCTGACGGTGAGATCCAATTTCACAAGCTGAGGCAGCAACTTTGTAATTATCCCCGGTTGAGGTTCATAGCAGGTATTCTCCATGATTGGGTATTGTGAAACGCGTGGACACTTTGGAATAAGGTATTCCAGCACATTTGGGTGGGGGTCTTCTGACCAGACACGATGAAGCAGATTCTCTTGGTCTTCCTTCGTTTGAAAACCG